ATTAAATCCTAGGTTTGGAAGAGTTCCTTGAGGCTATCAGGCTGAACCTCTGCTTAGTGTAGGAATCTAAATCAAAGCATCCCAGCGAGAGGAGTGCCCAACGTGTGCTTCAAGACATCCAGCAAATGTCATTTCCATTATGTGCTATCGAGTTATTTTCAGCTCTTGGGAAGCACCTAAATCAGGGTTTCTCAACTTGGCAACTTTAAGTCATCCCAGAATTCCTCAGCCAGCCTGTGTCTAGGCATGCCCTGTATACCTGTACATTCATAATAGCCAATGAATATTTTTTTTAAAAAAAAACAAAACTACACTAGGTTCTGTGCAAAAAGAAGTATTTTTAATATTTTAAAAAAGAATATTAAATAATCTAATTCCCAGTGTAATTCTAGTGGATTCACATACACTGATCACAAAGTTTGTCTCAACCCTCAGTTTATACTAGTGGTTGTCAACCACATCAACTTTAAATTGGGTGGAGTTCAACTCCCAGAATTCCCCAGCCAGTATGCCCTAGTCAGGAGCTGAAATCCACACATCTTAAAGTTGCCAAGGTTGAGAAGCCCTGACCTAGATCAACAGTCCCCAATATTGGAGCATGGCGGAGGAGAGGGAAACCGGGCCACGTAACTGATGGGCTAGTCAGCAGGGGTTGCTGGCTCAGGAATTCTGGGAATTGAAGTCCACGAGTCATAAAAGAGCCAAGGTTGATTACCCCTGGGCTAGTGTGTGCGCGCGCTTGCAGCTCAACTCATGAAAGTGGCATGCACCTGCATGCACACATGCAGCTCAACGAATGGAGCTGCGCATGCATGCCTGTGTACCGGGTTGTCGCTTGCACAAATTGAGCTGTGTGAGTGTGTGCAAGCGTGCGTGCGCCAGCTCTCCGCTCACACAGCCTGGTTGCAAATAGACCCTGGCTCTGGGGTTGGGGACCCCCGACCTAGATAAGATTTTTCCCCATGATCCTCTGTCCCTAACTGATCTCTCAGATATCCGGCAAAGAGGAGCTGATGTATTTAGGAAGATTTACCCAAGATTACACAGAAATCGTGTTTTCCTGAGAGTGGGAAGTCCATCCTTTCATGTCTTCTCTGCAACATCCCGTCAGAAACGACCACCATGCTATCCCAGCCTTCTCCTCAAAGCTAAACTTTCCGGTGCTCTCCATGCCTCTCCTCCTAGCTCCCTATCAACGTCTCTTCCATTTTCCAAGCCTTTTTCATTTTTCATGAATTCGTATTGACACAACTCCCATTTAAGCAGCTGATGAGCGCAGAAGACGACAGAACGATGGACATCCCGTGACCGCGTCTGTGGATGTAGCCTAAAATTGCGTTGGCCTTTTTAAAACTGTCATCTCTCACACTGCTGACTCACACTCAGCTTGTGACCAAAGCAGCTTGCCCCCCCCCCAACACACACACACACACTAATTACCAAGCAAAAGGATATTTCCCTTTTCAACAGTGTCATGTTGGTTTCAGTTTGCCAAGCGAAGCACTTCACATTAAATTCTTAAATTTCCTTCTATTTTCAGCCGGATTCTCTAACAGTTTATTTATTTATTTGTGAAAATTTCTATGCCCACCAACTCGATCAAGACTTGGGGTGCCTTACAGTAGTGGCCCCCAATCTTTTGGGCGCTAGGGAGAGGTTCCATAGGGAGCGGTTTTCTCATGGACCGGGGAGGGGGGGGATATGATTTCATGTGCTGCCTGCATCCCGTGTGTGTGTGCCGTTGGGGTTTGGCTCGCTTTCATGGCCTGGTTGTGGGCAGGCCATGGACCGGTGTTGGTCCATGGACCGAGGTTTGGGGACCCCTGCCTTACAGAATTAAGCTCTACAAAAAAAATTTGAGGATGAAGGAAGGATACGTTAAATAACTTCTAACTTCTTCTGTATAAAACACTTTTTTTTTCCTTTCTCCCTCCCTAAAGTTTATTAAATTTCAGAAAAGTATAAAACACAAAAGTAGAAAGAAAAAAAGAATTTAAAAAGAAACAAGGAAAGGTTGGGAAAATTAGGGAGTCAAAGGGGAGAAAGCTATGGGAAAAAAATGGAAACTTCTGGCTTTCTTTACTACTGATAAAAACCTAAAAAAACAATGACCCTTTGAGCTAGTATAGATAAAATGTTTTTTTTTCCTAAACAATAAACAAGGAAGGACACCTCTTTCATTAGGGATAGGAAACTTTGGAACATTCAGATCAGTGTTTCTCAACAATGCCCACTTGAAGACATGTGAACTCTCATGCTGGCTAGGCAATTCTGGGAGTTGAAGTCCATACATAGGTGGCCATTGTTGAGAAACATGGATCTAGGCCAGGGATGTCAAACTGCGCGTCATGCCAAAACTGCGCCCATCCCAGCTCTGGCAATGGGGAAAAAGTCACGACACGTCACATGACGTGGCGAGTTTGACACCCCTGATTTAGGCTATACTCCTGGTATCATAGCTAACCTGCCAGTAACCAGAAAGCTAAGCGAACAACTTCTGGAGATTCACAAATTATTCATCTATAATTTGATTTAGTGCAAGCCCGTGCATTTGACCAGGCTCAAAAAGGGAAAGTAAAGCTGCTTTTTGAGGATAATTAAATTCATTAATCACAGCCAAAAGGATTGCTCCCCATATATCAAAACACCCAACACCCCATGGGAATCCTTGATTCTGCTGCCACTTTTAGAGAGCCCCACCAGGGTTTGCAGGGGGAGAGGGCTGCCGGTTGCAGAATCGGGTCCCAGAGACCCCAGGACGGTCACTGCAAGGATGCCAAGGAGTTGCCACCCTCCGTTCATTGCCAGCAGGCATTCAGAGCAAGGAATACTGTAAGGAAGGAATGGCGTTAAGAGCAGAAGGCTGGTTATGGCTGAGGCGCTGTGGGACATGTTGTCACCATCTCCTGCGTTCTCCGCTCCCCGATGCCCCTTGGGGCACCAAGCAGCTCTGGCAGCCCCCGGGAACTGTAACCATGGCAGCTGGGAGGCTGATGGCTTACAACGAGGTAGAAGAGACTCCAGCATCTAGCAACCTAGTAGGGACCTGGGAGCATCAGATGACCTCTCCACGATGACCGGGTTCCTGTAGCAAGGAATCTCAGGAGAACTGAGGCCACATCTGGAGAAGGGACCATCGGCTGAGATAGAGAGAATGCTGCGGTTGAGAAAAAGCTCGCTGTGATTCACTCGGCTTCTCATGAAGAAGGCAGAAACTAGGGGGAAGTCCTCTCTGAGCTTGGTGGTTTTCTTGCAGATGTTTCATTACCCAAACTAGGAAACATCATCAGTGCTAGGAAACATCATCAGAAGGAATGTGGGGTTGTGGAGAGGAGGAGGAGGATTGTGGGGTCCTGGGTGCTCTCTGAGCTTCATTATTTTCTTGCAGATGTTTCATTACCCAAACTAGGAAACATCATCAGTGCTAGAAGGAATGTGGGGCTGTGGAGAGGAGGAGGAGGAGGAGGATTGTGGGGTCCTGGGTGCTTTCTGAGCTTCGTTATTTTCTTGCAGATGTTTCATTACCAAAATAAGTAATGAAAACAGTGCACTGATGATGTTACCTAGTTTGGGTAATGAAAGTCTGCAAGAAAACAACCAAGCCCAGAGAGCAGCCAGGACCCCAAATCCTCATCCACCTCCCTGCAAACTCTACTCTCTTCTAGCACTGATGATATTCCTTAGTTGGGTAATGAAATGTCTGCAAGAAAACCAGGACTCCTCACTTCAACCCTGAGCTACAAAGATTCTAATTTATTAAGCCAAGGTGGCAAAACTGAATAACGAAAACACGCCATCCGGCAGTGCTTCTCAACCTTGACCAGGGATGGACTTCAACTCCCAGAATTTCCCAGCCAGGCATCTTTTGTTTACTGGCATTCTCCAAACCACACACTCCAGATTTGTTTGATTTCAAATCGCAGAAGCTCCCAGCTGATCTTCTGGGTGAGGAGACCAGACCCCCTCTGGGGAGCACCGGGTTGGAGAAAAATGGAAGAGAGAAGAATGAACAGCTTTAACTGTACACTGCTGCCCAGAGTCACTCTATCAGAGAGATGGGCAGTACCTAAATTTGAAGAGAGAGAAAGAGAGAAGGAGGGAGGGAGAAAAGACAAAAGAAGGATGAATGGATAGAAGTTGGTGAATAGATAAAAGCAGATGAGTGGTAGGTAGGTAGATGCATACGGAAAGATGATACACAAAGGGAGGGAGGGAGGGAGGGATAGATGGAAAGGAAAAACACAGGAAGGATAGGATGGATAGACAGATGGATGGATAGACAGACAGAAGGGTTGATGGTGAAAAAAACCCTTTGCTTTTTCATATTTGGGTTTGTTTTACTTTGGTGAGGACCTGATTTTTCTTTTGTTCTTTTCTTTCAGCCTCCAAAAAAGACAAAATGTTTCTTAAGTTTCTCCCGTTTATTTTTTAAGAGAAATATTTTGTTGCAATGAAACCCTCCCTTGCCATGATATTATTGTTCAGCTGGGGTGGGGCACGGCTCCAGATATATGCTCCTCTGTGCATGATAAAGAGAGTTAAAATTTATGGATACTTTGCTTTTTTTATAGCTAATAAGTTTTGTTAGTTCTTTGCAATCTGCCTGGCCGTTTCCGTGTAATACGTAATGTGTTTAATGGCTCTTGGGCTATTTAGCAATCATTAGAGTTTGCATTTTGGCTAAGAGATCATCAGTAAAAATGATTTCTTTCCTATCATTTTTACTAGCAATCGATAAAAGCAACTCCCGCACCGATTCCAGCCAAATCCCTGCATTTCCCCTAGGACCCTTAGAAAATAATCCCTTAAGTAAGATGCTGGAGAAAATGCAAGACCCAGGCTGGTCTTTTCCTGAAAACACACCTATCATTTGAGTTTTTCCAGGATCCAACCTCTGACCACGATTTCTTGACCATCTCCCTTCTCCCCTCCTGTGACCCAGGAAGCTGCGTTAAACCAAGTCATCTCCCTAGGAAAATATCCAATAATTATCCACTCACGAGAGCTGCAAGATGAGATGAGAAGGATGAGAAGGATTATCCTTGTCACCTACTTATGGGCTGATCCTTTTTACGGGAAGCATCAAAGCCTCTGAATCTTTTACACTCACCAATTCGCTTCCCATCTAAAGAACGCCAAAGTCGTGTTATCAATTTCAGCCTGTTGTTCACCCAACCTAAGCTGTCTCCTCGAGTTTACTGGGCTCTCCAGTAAATTAGACACTTTCTCAACATCTTTTCCTGAATCCTGTCAGAGACGGAGCTGGAATTTCCTGGCTGCATTCACAGAAAACACTAAACCCTGGTTACCACAATTGCTGCATTCATACAAACCATGCCTATATATTGTATGGCCTAAGGGTGATGGCTGTTTCACATAACGGACTAATCGAGGGTTAGGCTTCCGACAAGGCAATGGATCACAAAGTGCCCAACTTCATTTGAGCCTAGACTAGCTGAATCTGAGCCACACTGAGGTCAGTTCACACAACAAAGATACTAAGACTCTGGAACAGTGGTTCTCAACCTTTTTAATGCCGCGACCCCAACTGGTCGTAAGTCGAGGACTAAACCGGTCGTAAGTCGAGGACTAAACCGGTCGTATGTCGAGGACTAAACCGGTCGTAAGTCGAGGACTACCCAACTGGTCGTAAGTCGAGGACTTTCCCTGCCCGGGAGCACCGCGCATGTGTGGTTCCGCCCCCTGCGCCGACCGAGGCGTGGCTGGCAAGCGGCAGAGACGGAGCAGGCCGACCACCAGCTGGCCCAGCCCAAGGGAGGTAAGGCACCCGCCGGAAAAGGGGGAAAAAATGGCGGACAAAAAAAAATGGCGGACAAAAAAAATGGCGGACAGCCTTGCTTGGCGACCCCCATGAAATGGTCAATCGACCCCAAATGGGGTCCCGACCCACAGGTTGAGAACCACTGCTCTGGAAAGAGTGCTGAGAAGAGCAATAAAGATGATAAGGAGCTTGGAGGCTAAATTATATTAACGGTTGCAGGAATTGGGCATGTCTACTGTAATCTAATGAAAATAAAGACCCGGGGAGGATATGACAACTGTCTTCCATTACTTGAGAGGCTCTCACAAAAAAGAGGGGGTCCACCTGTTCTTCAAAACAACTGAAGACAGGACTAGCAGGACTGGCCTAGGGGAAATTTTTAACCGGGTTTTAAAATAATTTTAAATTAAATATAGCCCAAGTATTAATATTTTCTTTTAATTATGTTTTTAACTATAGTATTTGGTATTTTGTATGTGTTTTATTAGCCTGTTAGCCGCCCTGAGTCCGCAAGGAGAAGGGCGGGATATAAATACAATAAACTAAACTAAACTAAACTAAACAAGAAGCAACAGATGGAAACTTATGAAGGAGAGAAACACTAAGGAGAAGCAACCTAGAACTAAGGAAAAATGTCCTGACAGTGAGAACAATTAATCAGTGGAACAGCTTGCCACCAGAAGTTGTGGGGACTCCATCACTGGAGACTTTCAAGAAGAGACTGGACAGCTATTTGTCCAGAATGGTATAAAGTCTCCTGCCTAGAGCAGGAGGCTGGGCTAGAAGACCTCTGAGGTCCCTCCCAGTCCTATGATTCTATGTTCTATGTTCTAACACACTTAATTTAAGGCAACTTAAAAACCTGGCAATTGGCATTGCAACTGTTGTTAACTTAATTTTTGTTTTTCGTGAATTAACTTGCAGGGCAGAATAGCTGTGGGGTTAGTTTCTCCTGAAACTCTCCTCGAGTTATGACCACAATTGAGCCCAAAATTTCTGTTGCTAAGTGAAACATTTGTTAAGGGAGTTTCCATTTTATGACTTTTCTTGCCACAGTTGTTAAGTGAATCCACTGCAATTGTTAAATTAGTAACGTGGCTGTTAAGTGACTCCGGCTTCCCCTTTGACTTTGCTTGTCAGAAGGTCGTAAAAGGGGATCACGTGATCCCGGGACACAGCAACGGTCATAAGTATGAACCAGTTGCCAAGCATCTGACTTTTGACCATGTGATCCTGGGGATGCTGGAAAGGTCGTAACTGCGAAAAACGGTCGTAAGTCACTTTTTTCAGTCCTGTTGTAACTTTGAATGGTCACTAAATGAACTGTTGTTAAGTCGAGGACTACGTTACTTGGACAAGAGAGAAGATGGGTCCCTTCAGCTACAAAATTGCAGATTATTCTGCATCCCAGCAGAATATACTACATCTCTATAGTACAGGAAGCATCACAGAGCAGAGAATCTCCACACCTTCCGTGTTAAAAACACAGAATGGAACTCTCCATCAGGACTGTTGTGACAGGGAGAAGGGGAGGAATACAGGTAGCCCTCAGCTTACGACCAAAATTGAGCCCAAAATTTCTGTTGTTAAGTGAGACATTAGTTAAGTGAATTTTGCCCCATTCTACGACCTTTCTTGCCTCGTTTGTTAAGCGAATCACTGCATTTGATAAGTTAGTAATCGGGTTGTTAAATGAATCTGGGTTCCCCATTGACTTTGCCTGTCAGAAGATTGCAAAAAGGGATCACATGACCCTGGGACACAGCAACAGTCATAAATATGAGTCAGTTGCCAAGCATCTGAATTTTGATCCCATGATCTTGGGGGTGCAGCAGTGGTTGTAACTGTGAAAAACAGTCATAAGTCACTTTTTTCAGTGCCGCTGTAATGTTGAATGGTCACTAAATGAAGTATTGTAAGTGAAGGACTGCCTGTATTAGGTATGTTTCTGCTTTGAGTTACTTATACAGTAATAAAAGCAGGATAAAAATCTGATACATAAATAAATTAAAGTTCTCAAATGCATGGCTCTGGTTTATTTATCGCCTGCTCAAGCCAAAGCAGGAGACAGTGAGTTCTAGTCCTGTCTTAGGCACAAAAGCCAGCTGGCTGACTTTGGACCAGTCCTTCTCTCTCAGTCCAGCCCACCTCACAGGGTTGTTGTGGGGAAAATAGGAAGAGGAAGGAGTGTTAGGTATGTTTGCTGCATTAGAACATAGAATAATAAGGTTGGAAGGGACCTTGGAGGTATTGGCAGGGGGACAGAGGTCGACTCCTTGGAGGTATTGGCAGGGGGACAGAGGTCGACTCCTAGGCCCCTAACTTGTGGGGTGCCTCAGGGGTCGGTCCTCTCGCCCCTACTGTTCAATATTTATGTGAAGCCGCTGGGAGAGATCATTCGGGGCTTTGGGGTGGAGTTCCACCAGTACGCTGATGATACTCAGCTGTACATCTCCACCCCAGGCCACCCCAACGATGCCC